TTGGGCACTCGCGGGGCGTCCAACTCAGGAGCAGGAAACCGAGGTAGACCCAAAACCCTTCTATCACAAACACCACCAGAAATCCAGTCTACCCCAGCTAAGGCAAAACGTGGGGCCAAATTCCTAACCGGGAGGCCAAGACGCGGGATGCCTAGGGGTGAAAGAATGGATTAACACACCGGGCTTCGGGACGAAGCCCCTCGTAAGGGGGGGGGGGGGGGAGAGTGTAACACCCCGTGTTACGGTCCCTAAAATCAATTAAATCATTTAATCAATTACCCAAAAGAAAAAATTAAATCACAATAATTAATTAGGAAAGGCCCACCATAGTCCACGGGCCCTTATCCCCAAACCCAATCCTTAGTCCCAAAAGGAATAGATTTAGCAAGTCTATAATATTAGTTCCAGACTAGGACTCCTAATTATATAAATAAGGGACTTAAGAGGCACCTAGAACCCCCCCCCCCCCCCCCCCCCACCACAATAAACGTTCCACCACCCCAAAGAGCTCCAAGAATTCCCTTAGAAGAAATCAAGAAAGCAAGAAAGCTTAAAGAAAGACCCTTCATAGCCAAGGAATTAATTAAGACTAAGAGGTAACCCATGTCTCAACAAAACCTATTTTCATAGCTATGATTCCCCCCTTAGGATTTCCCCATATTATTGTGTATTGATGAATTGTGGTATTGTTATTGATGATTGGTGGGATGATTCCATGGGTAATCTTGATGATGAAGGGTTCTTGATAATTATGGTGTTCTTGGTGATTATATGACATTCTTGATGATTATATGATGTTCTTGATGATTGTAGGATGTTCTTGATGTTTATGTGATATTCTTACCGAATCTTGATATTAGAAGATGAATTGCGTCCTTGTTGATTTAAAAACGATTAGAACCCTAGGTTGTATCGTATGGTATTATTCTTGGTATATTGGGTGGGATTTCGCATGATTGGGTGTTTATTACGTTTAGAAAAGCATGATAGGTTATGTGCCGTTTGTTTCTTGATTTTGATCCGTTAATTGTCTACGTGTGTTATCAATTGCGTTTGAAAGTGCCTGAGCATGGTTTCGGGTTCCACAAAGGTTCCCGGGGCGTTTTTTGTGTTAATGAGTCAGTGGGGGTAGGGGACCCGCCACCTACCCGCGGCCTATTTGGGCATCACCGGCAGCGGGCAGCCGGCGGGCGGGTAGCTGCCCGCCGGGCACCCGCTGCCCGGAATAGTTGCCGCCGGCGGGTGAACCCTCACCCACCGGCTACCCGCTGGTTTACACCCTACCTCGGGGTTCCGGCTTCCCCGTTTGATGGTTCCCCGACCCCCGTGGTGTCCCAACGGACTCCGTCTATCGTGCCTATGTCTAGTTTGATTTTCGGGTACCGTTCGTAGGTCGTATGAGTCTTATATATTGCATGCTAGTTGAATTGGTATCCTGTTGACCTAGGTGAAAGAAGTATGAACCCCTTAGGACTATTCTTAGTATGTGAAGGATCACGCATAGGTTTTGTTATACGTTTTCTCCCCCTTCTCAATGTGTTAATGTGGGTTGCATGTGCTTGCTATATGTTATGTGTGCATGTTACCCCGACTTGGTTGAGATCAATCGAGCTATACGGGAAGTCGGGTGGGCTGAGAACCATACCGGCTGTTAACCAGGCTGGTAGAGACCGGTCAGGTATATAAATATTATATAGGACTAAGATCCACTATACGGGCAGTTGAATGGGTGGAGAACCATCCCAACTGTTAACCAGGCTGGTAGAGACCGGTCAGGTATATAAATATTATATAGGACAAAGGTCCACTATACGGGCAGTTGAATGGGTTGAGAACCATCCCAACTGTTAACCAGGCTGGTAAAGACCGGTCAGGTATATAAATATTATATAGAGTTGCGGCTCATCGGTCGGTTGCGATCGACCCCTCCGTGCTGTGAGACGGGGCAGGGTGCTGCGGGGCCGTGTCAGAGCTATATGCGCTGACCCTCATGTATGGGCATGCGATTGGTCCTGTGGCGCCAACAAAGTGTGCTATGTGATGAAGTATGGATGAGTTGTTGTTATGAGTATCTTGGGGATGAGACTACGGGATTTGTGCCAGAGATCGTATATGTTGGGTTATGGTTATTAATTGTGCTTATCTTATCTGTCTTGCCTGTTGTGAACTGTATATGCTCGGTATAACTGCTGTCTGTGCTTAGCCCTATGTAACACCCCAGATTTTCAAGACTTTTTAAAACTTATTATAAAGGTAGAATCTCATTAAATCCCAAGAAATAAATACAAGCGTACGGGGTGCTATGCCACACCTGGGCTAGAGAACCCAAGTGCACAGGCTAACTAACTAATATCCTCAAAGCGTAATTATGTCAACATGACACGCAGGCCAAAAGGGAAAACTATCTACTTCTATACTCCAAGTTCTAGCGCGCTCCAGTGAGTTAATCTTCTGTGCCTGAAAGCCAAATATATCTGTTCAGCGAGAGATGCTGGTAACCCACTCCGACGCGTTGAAATACAATACATATAGAGATATATATAGATATACGAAAACCATTTTGAGCATGAAGATATATCCTACGAACTCTAGCTTTAAAACCGGGAATGACTCGACAGATAAGGCCAGACACAAGCACAGTTATAACGAGCATATGCAGTTCACAACAGATAAGGCAGATAAGGTAAAGCATAAACAATGATCATAACCCAACATGAACAATCCCCAATATAAATCCCATAGTCGCATCCCCCAAGACACTCGTAATCACAACTCGTCCATGTCACAACACATAACACACTTTGTTGGCGCCACAGGACCAATCGCATGCCCATACATGAGGGTCAGCGCATATAGCTCTGACACGGCCCCGCAGCACCCTGCCCCGTATCGCAATACGGAGGGGTCGATCGCAACCGACCGATGAACCGCAGCTCATCATAGTGTTTGATCGCAACCAAACAGTGGACCGCAGCCCAAGAGAATGTCATCTGACCGCAGCCAGGAAAAAGGACGAACCGCAGCTCGTATAGAAACGTTTGATCGCAACCAAACGGTGGACCGCAGCCCAAGAGTATCAATCTGACCGCAGCCAGCTTCTGAACCGCAGCTCAGGATAACCAATCCGATCGCAACCGAATTGGGGTAACACACACATAACACATAGCAAGCACATGCAACCCACATTACACATTAGGAAGGGGGAGAAAACGTATAACAAAACCTATGTGTGATCCATCACTTACTAAGAATAGTCCTAAGGGGTTCATACTCCTTCCACCTAGTTCAACGGGATACCAATTCAACTAGCATGCAATACAATAGATTCATAAACCTACGAACGGTACCCGAAACATCAAACTAGACATAGGCACGATAAACGGAGTCCGTTGGGACACCACGGGGAACGGGGGAACATCAAACGGGGAAGCCGGGATCCCGGGTGGGATGAATTTCCAGCGGGTAGCCGGTGGGTGGGGGCCACCCGCCGGATAATACTGTTCCGGGCAGCGGGTCGCCGGCGGGCAGCTGCCCGCCCGCCGGCCACCCGCTGCCGGGCGGTGTTTCACGGCCGTGGGTAGGTGGCGGGTCCCCTACCCCCCACTAATTCTTTTCACACACTTTACGCCCCGGGAACCGTTGTGGAACCCGAAACCATGCTTGGACACTTTACAACGCAATTAATGACAACACGTAGACAATTAACGAATCAAATACAAGAAACGAACGGCACATAACCTATCATGCTTTTCTAAATATAATCAACACCCAAACATGCGATTTCCCCCCCCCCCCCTCCCCCCCCCCCCCCCCCCCCCCGATAATCCAAGAATAAGATCATACGATACAACCTAGGGTTCTAATCACTTTTATATCAACAAGAATACGGTTCGTCTTCTAATTGCAAAGTTCGGTAAGAATAACACCTAAACATCAAGAGCATCACGTAATTATCAAGAACAACACATAATCATCAAGAACTCTATATAATCATCAAGAATTCTATAATCATCAAGAATCTCCCAATATCAAGATCATCAAGATCCCTCATGGGATCATCACATCAAACATCAATAATAATCATCATATCTCGCCAATACACAATAATATGGGGGAAACCCTAAGGGGGAATCATAGCTATGAAAATAGGTTTTGTTGAGACATGGGTTACCTCTTAGCCTTAATTAATTCCTTGGCTATGAAGGATCTTTCTTTAAGCTTCCTTGCTTTCTTGATTTCTCCTAAGGGGATTCTTGGAGCTCTTTTGGGGTGGTGGGGCGTTATTCTTGTGGGAAGTTCTAGGTGCCTCCTAAGTCCCCTATTTATATATTTAGGAGTCCTGATTAGGAACTAATATTATAGGCTCGCTAATTCTATTCCTTTTGGAACTAAGGATTGGGTTTAGGGGTTGGGTTTATATATGAGGGCCCATGGACTATGGTGGGCCTTTTTCCCTAATTAGTCATTATGATTTATTCCTTCTCTTGGGCTATTGATTGATTAATTAAATGGTTTTAGGGGCCGTAACAAGGGGTGTTACACCCTATCTGTTGAGTCTATCCCTGTTTCAAAAGCTAGAGTTCGTAGGAGATATCTTCATCTTCAAAATGACTTTTCATATATATATATATATATATATATATATCTATATGTATTGTATTTCAACGCGTTGGTGTGGGTTACCAGCATCTCTCGCTGAACAGATATATTTGGCTTTCAGGCACAGAAGAGTAGGTCACTGGAGCGCGCTAGAACTTGGAGCGTAGAAGTAGATAGCTTCCCTTTCGGCCTGCGTGCCATGTTGATGCGTTTACATTATTGAGGATATTAGTTAGTTAGCCTGTGCACCTGAGTTCTCTAGCTCAGGTGTGGCATAGCACCCCGTACTCTTGTATTATGTCTTGGGATTTAATTGGATGCCACCCTTATTTTATGAGTTTTAAATATCTTGAAAATCTGGGGTGTTACAACTAAGTACGTATGCTAACAACAATGCTGTCATGGCTTACTGTTTGGAGATTATGTCCACTCAAGCCATCAACCCAAGTCATGGCGGTTCAATTTTCGGGCATAGAGTGATTCACTGTGACCGTGAAGATGGTGATCGAAGATTACATGCTGATTATTTTTCAGAAAATCCAAAATATAATGAGGCAATATTTCGTAGACGATTTCGAATGAGTCGAAATTTGTTCTTACGAATTGCCAATGCTATTGCAGAGCACGACAATTACTTTGTGCAACAGAGAGATACAATCGGTAGATTGGGCTTGTCTACTTTACAAAAAGTAACATCAGCATTTTGAATTTTGGCTTATGGAGTAGCAGCAGATGCAACCGATGAATACATCCAAATTGGGGAATCAACAGCAATTGAAAGTTTGAAGAGATTTTGTAGAGCGGTCGCAGTGGTCTTTGGACAACGCTATCTAAGAGCGCCAGATGCTAATGATGTTGCAAGGTTGCTAGAAATTGGTGAGAGGCGTGGCTTTCCAGGGATACTTGGGAGTTTAGACTGCATGCACTGGACTTGGAAAAACTGTCCAACAGCTTGGGCCGGACAATATGCTGGGCGTAGTCGAGAACCAACTATTGTTCTCGAGGCCATAGCTGATTATGAATTGTGGACTTGGCATGCACATTTTGGTTTGCCGGGGTCGAATAATGATATTAATGTGTTGGAGGCATCACATTTGTTTGCAAACATTGCAAATGTACGGCACCTCCTGCTCATTATGTTATTCAAGGGAAAGTGTACGATACAGGATATTATTTAGCTGATGGGATATATCCGAAATGGTCAACTCTGGTACAAACTATTCATCAGCCCCTAGGACCAAAGAAAAAGTTATTTGCAATGATGCAAGAAACATGTAGAAAGGATGTAGAATGTGCATTTGGGGTCGTTCAATCAAGATTTGCAATAGTCAAGGGACCAGTACGTTTTTGGGATAAACATGTATTGCATGATATAATGACATCATGCATCATAATGCATAATATGATAATTGAAGATGAACGTGATGAGCAAGTCGATATACAAAGTTGGAGAGAAGCACCGGCTCCTGAGGTTGATATATGTAGAGATGAAAGAATTGTCTTTGAAGAGTTTCTTGCTCGACATAGGCAAATCAAAAATAAAGAAGCGCATTATGCGCTTCGTGATGCATTGATCGAGCATATGTGGGAACATTATGGTAATTCTGATAATTAAATGTAGCGGATGTTCTATGATTTATTATTGTGGAATAAAATAATATTTGCATTATAATAATATTGTATCCTTTTTTATTTTTATATATTTATATATTTTGTTAAATATTAAACATAAATTGTATATTATTAAAATAAAATTATATCAGTTCAAAGATCTTATCAAGAAGACGATTAAAACAAAACTAATATTAAATATAATTTAATTAAAAATAAAATTACATAAAATATAATTAAAGTCTAATTTATTAAATTACAACTATTAGTTTTGTTAAAAGAATAAAAGTATAAATATAAACTTTATGAGGGGTGTAGGAATAAAATTTGGTGCAGAATTTGGTGTAATGGGTTGGAGATGGAAAAAATTTGGTGTAAGAATATGCTGGGAATATTCCTTTTTGGTGTAAAATTTGGTGCAATGGTTGGAGATGGTCTGAGAGGCGAGTACGGTCAGTGGCTGCATGGCTTTTCCTTAAACATAGGACAGAATGAGTTCTACTATATAGACTGCCAAAAAAATTTACTCCCTCATTTATACTCCCTGAGGTGGCAAATCAGGATTGGTTATTTTCATCATGTAAGTCCACAGGAAAATGTCTACATCAAGAGAATGTGAGAAGGAGTACAAGTTAAGAGTTTAAAATTGGAGTACACCTGTTGGAATAACACCCAAATAAGTGTGGATTATTTCCATCCACAATAAATTGTGGAGGAGGTTTAATTCCTACAAATGTGGTCCTCTCCACCACTCCCCTATTTTAGTGGAAATTGAATGGCTAAGAGAGGAGGAGCAGGTAATTCTATAGCTATAAATACCCTGCTCCTCTTGAGATCTAAACACTCAATACATTCTTCTCTTCTTCTCTTCTGCAATCCTGAGCTTCGGTGTTAACTGGTCGAAAGCAACCGGTAAGACTGTTACCGTCTCCGGGCAATATTTGCTTTTAAGATAGTGTCTTGCGCACGTCACCGGTTGATTCAGGATTTCTTCTATACTCAGCCTATATAAACAGTAGCCTAGATCTACGACATATTCTGACCAATTTTCCAACAGTTAAAAGCAAATATTTGTGCTTAAGTTATCATGTCAACCTTCGGATCTAAACCTCCTCTGACTTCGCCAAGCTCGAACCTCTCGCCGGTCTGAACTACCGCCGGTAGGCGATTAAAATTATGATCCACTTCAAGTCTGTCGAACTCTGAGCTAAGTATTATTTCTTTAATACATGTGTATGTGTTAATTCTTTTAATGGCTGTTAGATATATTTTCATGCGTCATCACCACATTATATTTCATCTTTTTGTTCGTTCTCTTCAGTGTGCACAACATGAGGATTGACATAACTAAGAGATAATTAGCTACATGCTTTTCAGCACACAAAATTATTAATATTCTGTATATATTATGACTTAGTCATTATTAAATCTTGTGCTCTTGAATTTAAAGTGTAAGCAGTTATAGTTACGATGATGATATATCACATAATTATCTTTTATAGCATATTGGTCTTGAAGAATTGAAATAGCAAGATCATTATATTACTTAAACATGCTCTGTCACTCTTTAACATCCAAGATATAAATGGTTAATCTTGATGATCAATATCTCATGCATATTGTTATGTCTATGTGTAGGCATGTGTTTCTTGGATTTAGAGTTGTTCGAAAATGTTATATATGATGTTCTTCACAAAATGAGATCAAAAAGTGATTATGCGTTAGATAACTGTGGAACATAAATTTAAGTGATGCATGATTAATTTATTAGTGGGGGCTATTTGTTCCTTCAAATTGAATATGAGATGCATATATAATTATATATCTTTGTCACATGGTTTTAAAGATTTGAATCATGTACTAAAATTATTTGTATAAAGATATAATAAGTATATATCAAAGTCTTTGGTTGCAATTTGTTTGTAGCATGGAGTTGAAGAGTCATTATTCATGTATACTCTTTGCATAGCTCAGTCTTGCCAATGAGATTTGCCTCCTCATATTTTAATATGGCACATGCATACTTATATATGATAATAGACTATCATATGCAAATGATTGTCTTGAGCATTAGTAGTCATATATTATTGGCATTGACCATGTCCCTTAAAATTATCATAATGACATAATTTAGAAGATAGTTTGCCTATATCTTTGCATTCAATTGATTATTATCTTTTGAGAGCATGTTAAACGTGAAATATATATTGTGACAGGCATTTTAGAAATCACCATTCCATATTTTGTATGGTGAGTGCTTTGAATATTATATAGAAAATTAACAGCGGTGTACACAAAGATAAGTGAATTGTTATTATTCACATGTATGAGCTTTATGAATTTGTTGTGTTAGAAGTGATGATTTAACACTACTGCTAAGTGATTAAATCATCAATATGATATAAAGCCTATAAATTGTGTACTTATGCACATGTCAATTTACAACATTATGTGTTATTATTGTGGATATGTTACAAACATTGCACTATTTGATGAGATACATACTATATTACAGTCACATAATCTTAAATATTTAAATTGTGTACTGAGTTTAATTTCAAAGGCTTTACTCACATTTATGGTGGTAGCATGGAAAAGTCATTGTTCTTGAATACTCTTTCTAGGAAGATGGTTTTTAAGAAAACTTCGGTTTCACCACTCGACCTGGGAGTTTTAAGAAGTAAGGTGTTGATCATGCAGGCTAGTTAGAGCGCCACTTGATCTTCACCTGAAATGAGGTTGACTCTCATATGTTGTTAATCAAAGCCTTGCAATAGAAATTGTTGAAGTACTGCAATAGTAATATTGATCTGCATCCTATGAATGCTTTATATGAGTTTTAATTTTCTCAAGGGAATGGAAAATTGTGAAAGTGGCAACTCTGAAGTCTCATTGTTGAGAGATATCTTCGAATAAATATGAGCTCGAACATATTCCTTGTGTATAACATTAATTTCTTATAAGAATATGATGTGAAATTTGTGATTATGTTGTTCAACTTGATGTAGCATGTGGACAACATTATTTCTATGGCTTACTAACAATGAGCGTTTGTATATATATATTATTTAAACTCTTGGTTGAGTCATATTGAAATACCTATAATTCCTAATTAAAGGGTAATTGTGATCAGTTGAGATAACCAAGTTTGTTGAAATATATTCAACTGTTGAGCATGTATCAGGCAGAGTGCGAAGCTTCTATAATGCTCCACAAAGCAAATCGGCAAAACTCAGTCTACAAAGGAGCAAATGTTGGGCACCAAAGATCAGTCTGGGTAAGAGATCAAATACATTTGACAACAAATATTTGTAAGTGTTGCATTGTGGGGGTAATAAACTCCGTATATTCTCATCAAAAGTTTCTCTGTGGTATTGAGAATAATGATGAAAGAGAATGTTTCATGTTAAACATGAAAATATCAAGGGATTATTTACGAGTAAACAAAGTACTCGTCAAAGTGCATGTAAGTTTGGTCAAGAGAATCAACTTACTTGAGGGCTAATTATGAGGATTAGTCGCTAACTCATTGGAAGGACTTAAAGTCCAAGTGATAATGAATTCGTGGTGGATCCCACTTTTGTGGTCAAAAGAAGCCATGAAAAGAGTTACAAAATAGTACACTAATTGGTCATTCCGACAGTGTGTGTACTTGTGAGGTTGAGTTACAGCTCTTAATGAATTCATAACTCTTTGAGAAAGGGTGGTTTTGTTGAGACAAACCTAATGAATTCACCGCATAATGACATGAGTACAAAGTGCTCTTGGTGACTTATACTCAATTGGGATGGTCTATGTTGAGGTAAACCTAAAGAGATCCCTAACTTGAGTAGAAAAGGGCTAACCGCCTCTTATGAAAGATAATGGGGTTATCCCAAGAAGCTGAGTGGCTACGAAATATGTTGATAAACGTGAAATTTTGGGGGTGTCTAGCTAACACCTTCACTACATATACATTGTGATTCACAAACTGTCGTTTGCATTGCAAAGAACAATGCCTATGATAGAAAGAAAAGACTTACAACTGGTTTATGTACTTAACTACTCTATAAGCCTTTAAAGGTGGTCTATACTGAGATAGACTTGATAGATTTAAAAGTCTATATTGAGATGGACTTGACAAGACATAAAAAACTATAATGCGATTAGACTTGTCAGAGTTAAAAGTCTATGGTGAAATAGACTTAGACATTGTTGTAACACCCCGTGTTACGACCCCTAAAATCAATTAATCATTTAACCAATTATCCAAAGAAAGAATTAAATTACAATAATTAATTAGGAAAAGGCCCACCATAGTCCGTGGGCCCTCATCTCTAAACCCAACCCCTAGTCCTAAAAGGAATAGAGTTAGCAAGCCTATAGTATTTGGGCCCTAATTAGGACTCCTAGGTATATAAATAGAGGACATAAGAGGCACCTAGAACCCCCACCACAATAATCCCTCGCCACACAAGAAGTTCCAAGAATCCCCTTAGGAGAAATCAAGAAAGAAGAAAGCTTAAAGAAAGACCCTTCATAGCCAAGGAATTAATTAAGGCTAAGAGGTAACCCATGTTTCAACAAAACCTATTTTCTTAGCTATGATCTCCCTCTAGGCATCCCTCTATATTCTTGTGTATTGATGATTCGTTTATGATATTGATGGTGTGATCTTGATAATTGATGTTATGCTTTCTTGGGTAATCTTGATAATCTTGACGATGGAAAGAGATTCTTGATGATTGGGTGATATTCTTGATAAACCTAGATTCCTAATGATTGTGTGATATTCTTGATAAATCGTATTGTTTCTTAGTGTTAAAAGATGAATTACGTTCTTAATGATTTAAATATACTTAGAGCCATAGGATGTACCGTGAAACTCGCATGGTGTTATTCTTGATATAATGGGTGGGAATTCATATGTTTGGGTGTTAATTATGCTTAGAAAGCATGATAAGGTATGTGCCGTATGTTTCTTGCTTTTGATCCGTTAACTGTCTACGTGTTATCGTCAATAAC